GACGGCGTTCCTTCAACCGATCACATGAGCTATTACCTTCTATAAAACATGCTCTAATTCCATCAATAAACATAAGCATTTGCTGCTATCAATTACTCGTGTACTTCATTGGTGTCCGCAGTTCGGGTTGGAGCCGATTCAGTTCTGAGCAGTACAGTACGGATTCTCGTATTCCTATATTCAATACTATTCCGATCATTACAATCACACTTCCGCCAGGAGTTATGCAACTCCTCTACAAACGTTTTTCGGGATAATCCAATTTTAAAGCGATGTTCAAATCCCTATACGAGCTCCATGCGGTAGTGGGGTGGTACACGTTTGACGAGACCACAAGGCTTCTGGTTTATGCTTCTCTGTTACCTGATTTGGCGTGAACTACGGGGCCCGCTGGGAAGCTCTTCACGACTGACTGTAGTCGATATACTTGGGCCGTCATAACCGAACACACGCTCTTCGAGGAGAAGCAGTAAATGCCTCTACCTAACAAGAGTGGCTTTTTTCGTCAAACAACGAAAAACAGCGAACATTTGAACGAAAAAGCTTTTATTTGCATGCATGGTTTGTGAGTGTATCTGTTTGAGTGTATGTGCACGCATAGGCTTGAGTCGAAGTTAGAAAAATCCGGGCTGGTTACTGAATGTGCTAGAGCGAGCCTTGAAACCACAAGAAGAGACTGTGATTAACAGGGAGCTAATTAGATCCTCGAAATTTGGTAACATCAGTTCATTCAAACAGGACGTGGAAAACGGGACTGGTTGGGAATGAATAAGTTTTGGTTTATGAAGTTGCGCATGAGAATTGGCCGAGAAAACAACTTGGTAGAAACAATATTGGTGTTATTTGCTCCGAAAGCATTCCGATTGTTCGGGAGGGAGGCAAGAAGAATTGGACTAATAGGAAGTGAACAGGATAATAATTTTGGCATGCGTATATGCGTGAGACGATCAGTAATGAAATCATAACATTAAGGACATTAGAGATTAGACAAAACAACTTAATTCACAATGAAATGTCGTTTCGTATATCGACTGACCTATCAGATAGGAGAGATAGAGAAGACTGAGAGACAAAATTGTGAAATAAGTAGATGAACAGACCTCGTTATGGTGAATATTGGGTTACTGCTCGAGCAGAATCCATATATTTGCGTAATCCGCCGTTCGAATTGAACGCCACAACAAACGAATTATCGGCATTCGGTCCTTTGAAATTCACACATTTGGAATTTAACAGAGTTACATATACTGCTTCGGGCCGTTTCGTCAAATCGGTGATTGACTGTTTTGTCTGTTGTCCATTATGTGCAATCATTGTGATTTTCGGCTTACCAGTTTCTACTGCCACCGAATTTTCCATCAGCTCGGAGGATGACTCTGTTTTCGGACAGTGTATTGGGACAAATGTTTCGGGCACTGATTTGGGAGCCGGGTTAGGTTCCCATAAATCTCGTACACTTTTCATTTGTAGGCGACTGGTGGCTTGTGCCAATGCTGGATCATCCTCAGTTCCAGCCACTAAAGAGAAAGGATTGGAGCGCCAAAAACTGTTTTGTTCCAAAAATTGCACGGTACGTGTGATTTTCTCCAACGATGGTACGGCTGTGTTCTTACTGCGTATAATCGCATCGAACACGGCAGCCTCTGAGTGAATACGTGCCATTGCATCGTCTAGTAAATCAGGCTGATCTTTCCAAACACTTCTTGTTTTAGACTTCCAACAGAACCGTTCCATCATTTCAACTACCGTGTTCATTTAGAAAGCAGTCCACCTGGCTGTATTGCTGTTTTCGTCTCGCGCTGTTTCAGTCTTACAGGTTTTATCGATTACTCCTGATTTAAATTCCTCGGCGTCCATCAAGAACGGACAATAGTTATCCGCTCTCCAATACTGCGTATAAAGATTCGCTATAAAAATAAATGCCAATTGGATCATGGTACTCACTAAGATACAACAAAAGACTTTTCTGAAATCATTTTCTGATCCGTCTACTGAAACAACAACATCTGAGTACATTGTCACTTATCGCTTTTTCGTACCCGACAAAGACTATTTTATCAAACCATTCCAACTGGTCAATGACCGTCGTCTGTTGCGTATCGCAAACCTCACTAACTGTAGCATAACTCTATCTAAACATTTTCGGTTATATCGCGGAGAGCGTGTACGAACGGTACGTGTGGTAGGACCCAATCAATCATCCGTGGAACATTGCGTGAGGCAAATCGACGAAAGCTTTCCTCAGTTTTATGCCACCGCACCCCTACAAAGATCAATTGATGATCTCAAACATCCCACTATGGACGAGATTGGACGATATACCACAATGGAAAATGTGTCCACAGAAACGACAATAGAGATTGTGTATTATAAATTACGATTTTACATTCTCTCTGGATTTCAAGGCGCTTATGAACAATGGAAGCACGATTGTGTCGCACAAACAATCGAGAACATGGATTGTCATCTGGTTGTCGCACAACGCGACCATTATGATTCAGGTTTTGTGCGCCGATATGCCGTGATTTTAGGTCCCAAACGGCGAGATGTCATGTATGCATACCGACTGTTTCATACTAGCTTCATATCCAGATACTGTTAAAACAAAGTGAACATGAAAGTAGCATAAAATTGGAAAATAGAGACTGATTGTGCTATTTGTACTGTTGATAGTTTTGTTATCTCTCTAACGTGAAAGCTTTTGTGGGTGGTGTGAACCACGTTATGAATGCTGGCTTAGAAAAGAAGTGTTGTCAGTCGACAAATGAACTAACGATGCTAATAATAACCAGTCTTTTTTACCGTCTTACCATCATTGGATCAATCGTCACAGACGTTTAGGAAAACCGAAAGGACAGCAGTACTGTTCGGTCTTCACGAGTAGAGATGACTACGACCACCAAAACATTACTTCAGTGCAAACTGTCTAGTCTTAAAATTTCAGGTATAACATTTTTCGTATATCCACTAATTTGGATTATGTTAGGTACTCTACCGCTCAGTGTGGGACGCAAAACCGGATCACATGTACTTGTCCAACAACGAAATACACTGACGATAAAGAGAACAAGGGACAGAACACTATCAATCCAAAAGCACTGAAGTTTTCAACCTAGCCTGGGTTACATACGTTTCATCGCCAGGCTGGGTTGAAAACTTCAATGCTTTTGGATTGATAATGTTCTGTCCCTTGTTCTCGTTATCGTCAGTGTATTTCGTTGTTGAACAAGTACCGAGGAGGGAGTGGATAAATAATCCGTGAGGTTGTTCAGATTGGTTCATGGATGATTTTTTGTAGCATCAGTTGATCTTTATGTTTCTTTGACGAGTGCACGTGATTCAGTTAGATGTGTCTGTATATTTCGAATTCATGAAAGCATAGTTTTATAGAAAGTCTGCACGTGGAATGGATTGTGCCCTTCGACGATGGATGTCATAGAAAGGCAAACAGGTCAACTTTCTATCGTTGTACCATTGCCGCAGGTGACTCTACCGGGTTGTGGATGAACCGCAAAGCTTCGTCATCAGTCACACTGGTGAAGTAAGAATCATAAAGATACTCGTGCGAACGCTTGACAGCCAAATAGACAGCTGGAGCCCCACGTTGAGATCGTGAATACCCACGATCGGTATTGCTCCTTCGATTGTCTGCGACACGTAAAACCAGACTGGCTTTAGACCTGGTCGAGGGTGTATCGATCACATCTTCACTTCTCGTCAAATCCCAGCACACAGAAACTCCTTTCGTAGACCCACCGTCTCTGCCTTCCTCGATCTGAAAGCGGCCTTTTACTCAGTCGACCGCTCTAACCTCTGGCGCTGCGTCTGTCTGAAGAGTGCGCCCAAAAAGTTTATTTCAATATTACAATCCCTTTATACCAATAACCGAGGCCCAATCCGAGTTTACGGCACTTTTTCGCTTTCTCTCCATTTCTATTTAACTTTGTCATCGATTTAATTCTCGAAACTACCCTATTCTCGTAAGAGGATGGCGTAATCGATTTGCTCCCAGAACGCACACTGTCTGATCTCGAGTACGCAGGCGAAATAGCGCTACTAAGTGAACATCCAGGTACGTTGCAAGCTTTTCTGGATATTTTGAGTGCTAGTGCAGCCCTGTTCCGTATGCGTTTTGCACCTTCAAAGTGTAAAATGTTGCTACAACCTCATCCTGAATAGGGAAGCATTAGAAGAAGGTAAATTTTTCTATCTCGACAGCTTCATCTCACCTGGCAGACGCGTCACAGATGAAGTGTCCGCAAGCATAAAGAAGACTCGATTAAGATTTGCCAACTTAAGATATCTGTGGCGATGTAGCGACATCCGGCTCTCCGTGTCGATCGTATGCTGCAGCGGTTCGGCCAGTGCTGGTCTACGGTGCAGAGACTTGACCATTACGGTAACAGGGTAAAACTAGATTGTCGGTGTTCGAACATCGCTGCCTACGTCGCATCGCACGAGTACGATGTGGAAACCGGACGAGCAATGCTGAGGTTAGGCGTAGAGTTTAAGATATTTGCGGTCGTCCACTGGAGCAAGTGGTCGATCTCCATAGATAAGATTGGTTGGAACATGTGTTCCGCATGTCACCAAATAAGTTACCACGGCACGCGATGTTTGCCGAGGCAGACAGCGGACGGACGAACTTAGACCTGTCATGAGGGTATGAAAACCCTCACCAGAATACCGGGTCAAATAGTTCCCGTTAAGCTCCCTGTATGGGGACCCCGAGATCATGTTCACCGATGATTAGAGACACCGAGCGATATGGCTGGGTGTCACAAACAACGTTGGTCATGGATTTACTCATTATTTATGCAACCTCAGTCTATATAAATTTTCTATCTTCCGCTTGAATTTGTTCTCAACATTCCAACCTTCATTCTGTTCTTTTATCCAAGTGGGCGGCCAAAAGACCGCAACCAAAACCGGCCCATGAAAGTGCATGATTAAAGGTTGTAAAAACTCAACCGAACTGCCATGTCATGGCCTGACAACCGCGACGTTTCTTCCAGCCTTGCCCAAAATGTGCAAAAAGAGCACGGAAAGGAAACAACGGACAAGCATACGAAAAATGTCAGGAATATGATATTGGACAACCTGGTTGTGTATAGAGGAAAACAATCATTAACAACTTTGAGAGGTTGTCTTAGTAGAACAATAGTACCAAGGGAAAGGTCTCGCTGATCAAACACAAAGTATTTAGGTCACGAAAAATGAAAAGGTCATGAGTGTGAGTAATCTTTAGGTCTGACCAGGATCACGTTATGATCACTGGTGCCCAAGGGTGAGAGATATTTTGTAGAAAATGTATCAGCGTGATCGATGTGTTCTAGATGCGAGGACCATCTGGAGGGTTCGATAATAAGTTCACCGACATTTGAGCAGAATAAAGTGTACAGGGGCGTGGTTACAAATATCGATGATTAGGTGCGAGCCGTAAGCATGAGATGGGGTAATAAGCTGTAGGAAATGATCATAAAGTGTCAATATCTGTTAGCTTACAATGGGGTGCAGTTTAAACCTGGGTAATGGCGATAAAAGGAAAACGGGAAAAATTGGGGTGATGGACGACAGCCAAGGAATCGATGGTTTTTTGTGTATTCTCAAAAAGTACTGCGGACTTGCCACACTGCTTGGAGTTCATGTAATTAATCAGAGCGCCTCCCACAGTTTGACTGCAAAGTTATCTATGCTACCTGAAGCAGACGAAATTTCCCAGTTAAACCACGGAATCATCCACATCATCATTGAGCCATGACTCTTGGAGACACAAGAGTTGCGAAACGGACAATTGTGGTTACACTTATCTTGTCAGAAGTAGTGCGACTGATAGCGGTTTTCCAACCGGCATGAATGCGCTTGGAGTATGTGACTAGTGACTGGCACTCCAAACAACACAGCATGATTTTTCATCACAACGTCCTTAAACTATAACGTGAATTCTTTTGTATATATAGGTAACGCACGCATATTGAACTATGTGGTCGATAAACTCCATAATGCAAAGGTGGTGACAAATTGTAGAGCAGCCGTTCAGGGAGCACGTGGGCATCAATTACCACGAACATGTATAAAATCATCCTAACCGAAACTCATCCCACAAATGCTTGTTCAATTAACACCACCATCTGTACATCTTTGACCAATATGACTTCTTAAG